GCAGGAATGGAAAAGAAAAGGTCCCTTAAACAACAGTATTCAACAAAGCCTCCTAGGATAAAACTTATGGTAACCAAAGTATGTTAATTAGGTTTCCATTTTAATCCCTTCTCACTATAAATCCTTATTAGTTACAAAGGTCTTCCTTATTTCCGGATGGTTGAGACACTTTTGCTCTATCCGTATCTACCAACTCAGTCCAGGATCCCAAAACTACTATCTCTATCTCTTTCTCCACGTCTGTTTAAAAAAGTTACAGAAGATTCATTGTTCTGATATTTTATCAGAGTCTCAGACACATTGTGAAGTTTAGCTCTGCAGTATCATAATGCCTTGTTCTGTTTCTTGTTTGTTGGTATTTTTTAGTAGAGACATAAAAAGGACAGTTGTGTTGGTTATGGTGCAGACTCTTCCTAATATCGCATGGGGAAAAAGAAGCCGTGTGATTTTAGATGTTGGGTGTGGGGTGGCCAGCTTTGGAGGTTATCTATTTGAAAGAGATGTTCTCACGATGTCGTTGGCCCCCAAGGACGAGCATGAAGCACAAGTGCAATTTGCACTAGAACGGGGAATCCCTGCTATATCAGCCGTTATGGGCACCAAGAGACTACCCTTGCCTGGTGCTGTGTTTGACATTGTCCACTGCGCTCGCTGTAGGGTTCCTTGGCACATTGAAGGTGATTTCTACACCTTTATAGAATTCATATTGTCCCTTTATTTCAAGAGTCTTTTCTAGCTTAACAGATTCAATGCAGGTGGTAAACTTCTACTAGAATTGGACCGCGTCTTGAGACCAGGTGGTTACTTTGTTTGGTCCGCTACTCCGGTTTATCAATCACTTCCGGAAGATGTTGAAATTTGGAAAGGTGGAACACTATTAATTTAGTACATATATGTTTATCTAAATAGAGATTGGATTTTCCTGATTTATATAATTCTGTTTTGGTTTCTTTAACATATTCTCTCTCTCTGTGGTGTGGTAATTATTGGCAGCCATGACTAAACTAACAAAATCAATGTGCTGGGATCAACTGGAAGTTAAAAGGGACAAACTAAATGAAGTGGCTGCAGCAATATATAGAAAACCGACCTCCAACAAGTGTTATTCTAATAGACCAGAAAACAAGCCCCCGCTCTGCAGTAACTCTGATGACCAAAATGCAGCCTGGTACTTAGTATCACACGTGTTTTTCTAGTCATTTTCTGTAACGGAGTGAACACCTACAACTACCTTCTATTTGGTACAAAATGCAATAGTACTTCCATCTAAGTGTCTTTACTATGTTTCATCAGGAATGTACCACTAGAGGCGTGCCTGCACAAAATGCCGGAGGAAGCATCAAAGCGAGGGTCTCGCTGGCCCAATGAGTGGCCTTTGAGATTGGAGAAACCTCCTTACTGGTTAAAGTCTGAGGTTGGAGTCTATGGCAAAGCTGCCCCAGAAGATTTTGCTGCAGACTACAAGCGCTGGAAAAACGTAGTTTCGGAGTCATACTTGGAAGGAATGGGAATTAGCTGGTCTTCTGTGAGGAATGTCATGGACATGAGAGCTGTATATGGAGGGTAAGCAAATTTCCTTTAGATGGCCACTCAATTTTCTTGCAAAGATTGAATTTGTTGCCAACTAAAGCTAGTTTTCATTTAAGATTATTTTAGTTTGCAATGAAATCCTCACGTCCTTTTTTTCCCTAAAAAATAAATGAAATGCACCTGATAGAGGCAATATTGTTAGAAAACAAGAAAAGATAAAAAAAAGGAGGAGAAGTACAAACAATCAAAAGGCCATAAGGATCTAGAATCCGAATTTGACCACATTTTATTCCCTATAAAATGCACCTTAAAATCCTATTTTTTTTCCCGTCACTACCTTACATTCTCCTATTTCATTTCTGGTATGCTTTTAGGTTTGCTGCTGCACTGAAAGACTTGAAAGTGTGGGTTATGAATGTAGTCCCAATTGATTCTCCAGACACACTTCCAATAATATATGAGCGTGGTTTGTTTGGGATATATCATGATTGGTGTGAATCCTTCAGTACATACCCAAGATCTTATGATCTCCTCCATGCAGATCATCTCTTTTCACTTCTTAAAAAAAGGTATGTTACTTCTATAGTAGGGTACAGAAAAATGATTTACCAGTAGTACTACAGAGTTTTAGAATGTCAGATCACACCAAAATCATACCAGAATGGAAGTTGATAAAAATCTAAAGTTTAAAACTGTACAATACTATTAGGGTATTTCTTTTGTACCCATAAAAGAATTTTTCTACTTTATGTAGCTTTTAGCATATAAATGCATGTTGTGCAGTTTTTTAAACATCCTGAGTGAATAATGTGATTGTGTTTGGTTATGACAATAAATTAAATTAGGTGCGAGTTAAGGGGAGTGATAGCAGAAGTTGATAGGATTCTAAGGCCGGATGGAACACTGATCGTTCGAGATGGTGTCAAAACTGTAAACGAGGTGGAAAACATGGCTAAGTCTCTCAAGTGGAATGTCAGATTGGTTTTTTCAAATAACAAGGAAGCTTTGCTTTGTGTTCAGAAGACAATTTGGCGTCCAAAACAGACAGAAACCATATTTTCAGCCATTGCTTAAGCTTAAGCCTGGCTTCTTAATTTATCTCTGTCCTTAAAAGAGGCTTCCATAGGGCTCTTTTGCTTGGTCTAGCATTTTAATCATAATGATGCAGTATTTTATAGATAAAAGAAATTACATGTAGTTTATTATTTATGAAGCAGCTCCAATGCCGTTATACATGCTCCTAAGGTTAAATTTCCATTCTACAATTAGAGGAATTGGGCTATTAAATTGGCTTGTATTTTCATACTATTATCAGTACACACTAATAATCCAATGCGTCGTGGGGAAGTGTATATATATAATGGTCTCGTTCATTTCACTGATTTGAGTTTTCAGTTTTAAATTTTTACAGTAAAAAACTCTCAGAAAATGTCACATCTAACTTTTTCTGCTACAGTGTAAAACTCTCAGAAAATATCACATCTAAACTCGAATTGAAAACTCGAATTCACGAAATGAACGAGACAAATATATTTTTTAAGAAAATTTTTTTTTCCCTCTAAAATTAAATCTCTATCAGATCCCTTTTCATTCTTTCCTTGTAATATTAGGCAAAACTTTATTGTTTTTATGTTCTCAACAATAGTTGACATCATTTATAAAGTTAAACCCGAAACTGAAAAGACCACATGAAATTGAAAGAGGGAAGAGATCGATTACAATTTTTTTTTTTTTTTTAGACAAGCATTTGTTCCAGACTAGAAAACGGCATGTCATTTTAATCAAGAGGAAAAACGACAACCTTTTTTTAGAATAAAAAAATGATAACCTTTCAAATTGTACTTTTTCATGACCTCATTAAACGACATCTTCTTTTCCAGTCTAGCCTTATAGGAGACTTGTAGACTAGAAGTCTAGAATGAAGTCAACAAAGTGTCGATTCCTACATCAAAATTCAAAACATCAACGGGTCCAAGTGAAACGACAACCTCCAATAAACATTGCGTTTACATGTGTAGTTGAATGACACAAAATATAAACGATAGTAAATCCACATGTACTCCATTCATACTGAACAGCGTCTTGGAGAATGAAGTGAATAACGAGTCGTTTATTGAATCCAAGTTCAAAACATCAACGGGTCCAAGTGAAACGACAACTTAGAATAAACATGTCGTTTACAATCAATCTAGGAAAACGACCTGCATAGTTGAACGACGCATAAAGTAAACGGTGCTCAATCCACATCACATGTAGTCCATTCATACTGAACAACATCTAAATATAATATATCTCGGTGTACTACTTGTCGAATAATTTAAGAGAAGGGCCTCTTATTTTAGAAAACGACTTTCTAAACTAAAAAGCCATATCGTTTCTTCTGAAGTGTAAAATGGCACGCCTTTTTAACATATTTGTACGACATGTTGTAACCATCTTTTTTTTTTTTTTTAATTTCTGTTATTTTCACTGTTAGTTATGGTAAAAACGACATGTGTAGATGAAAGACATCTCAAATAACATCTTGTTGTTGTGTTGATCACAATCGACATGTCTTACATCATGTTTTTCGGTCCTTTTTCTTTTTATGTCTAATTTTTATGATTAATTAAGTCTCTAATTTTCCTTTTAACAACACTTCCTTTTATTATTAAAGTAAAAATTGTCCAAGAGATAATGATAAAAAGATAATTATGTCCGTTCAGGTCAAAGGCATTGCACAATCTCTGGTGTAAATGTCAAAGCCCAAACTATATTCAACATGAAAAAGTGAGAAAATAATATATTTTAGAAAAATGATGCATTTGATATATATATATATATATATATATTGTGTTCGAAGGCATGACACTATATCTACTTTTTATATAATTATTAAGCTCTTTTAATTCTCAAATAATTTTAAAATGGTAATGTTGTAATTATTAAATGAAAACGTCAACATATCAACCAATACATAATAAGAGAATCAAATTTTAAAATTTAGCATATGCCATGTCAAATTTTGCACCTAGTACCCCATATGTCAAATTTAGCAAAAAAAGAATACTGCATTATCAGAGGATGATTTTCCTAAACAAATGCCAAAATTTGGCATTAATACATTAATTTGACACTATATTAGAGATGCTCAAATAGGCTTGAGTTTTATGGATGTTTGGCACACGGTAAATTTAGGGGGCCAAATGACCATAAATCTTTATGGAAAAAACTTTAAACTAATTTTAATTCGGGAGCTCAACAGTGTGTGTATATTCACGGGTGACATAATATGTATATGGAGCAGCTCATATTATATACAATAATATCTTAAGAAAAAAAATTAACTAGCAAATAAATTACTAAGCGCGACATACATACATACATATATATATATATATATGTATATGTAACACTTTGAGTGAGAAATTGGGGACCCTACCACTTTGAGATAACAAGCGCCAATGTCCACTTCCTTCCAACTCCTCTTGTCTCAGATAACCTTCTCATGAAAATAAAAATAAAAATGATAATATATGTTTCATCCGACATTCCACCAATTTTCTGGAATCTTATATTTCTCAGCCGCACATGTGCTCCATTTTTTCTAATGTAGCGCCCACTTTCTTATTTCTTTCATGGCTATGCTTGTATATTTTGACTGTATTGAAAGGTCAGAACATTTTTTTAATTATGGAGTTTGGAAAAGGAAAAGCTCAGACTACTCCATATGAGTTGAATAAGTGGAAAAATTTATATTTAATTACAAGTATCGTACAATTTTAAATAGTTAAAATCACGTTAAAATCATAATAAAGGAGAAAAAATGCCAAACGAGGTTAAGGAAAGAATTTGAAAGAAGATGAGAAATAATCAAAACTCTAGAAAATTAAACTAACAACTGCTCATAAGATATTTTTGTTCTTTATTATGTGTAAATTTAAATTTAACTTAATTTGATTAAACTTTGGTGGCCTAAAACTATCGGTGTGGTGTTTTATTATACTCAATGAGAAAATTCTTGAACCAGTGAGATAATGGTTTTGGTTTTGCTTATCTCACTAATCTCAACAGTGTTGGGTGGCCCCACTGAGCATGGAAGTGAGTGCCTTGGTCACTAGCCTTCTAATTATATATTACCCTAAAACCTCTCACTGACACCTTTGCTAATCATTATCTTCTTGTTGTAAAAGCGATCTTCTTTGTCTTCAAAATAGCATACAAAACTGTCAAGATGCTTCTTTAAGACTCCCATAAAATTAAAATTAAAAAAAAAAAAATTTATTTTGAGCTTTTGTTTTGGCTTCTTACTCAGCCATCTCATGAAAATAATGAAGAAAATTGAACTCGTCCTCATGTTTGCATGATTGAAGTAGTACAAGAATCATAATGTTATTAGTTATATGCTTCAGAATTTGGTGTTCCTTCCTACCCCCCTAACCAATAGGCTTAGTGGCCATTACTGATTATCATCATTTTTATTTTATTTGAATGATGTCGTATGCTTCATTGAATTCATTTCTGCTTGATGATGTTTTTACCATATTTTCATGACTTTATATATATACACATATATATATATATATTACGTGTAAAAGTAGAATCCGTTGTAATCTCTCACACGTGAATTACGTGTATAATTGATATAGTTAAAGGCCAGGTAACAAATCATAGGAATTTGTATAACAAATTTAAATATTTGTCTTCTAAGGCTCTTCTAGTCATGGGATTTATCCAAAGTTAAACAGTTTGATATGACCTGAGGAACTAATTCCTCTGAGCGAATGCAGACCTGTATATAAATGTACATACACATTAAGGAATTGCATGAATGGACATGCTTTGTTCATGTAATATATACACACTTTGTTAATTGAACATGGCAAGTTTTCCAACCTTCTAAAAATCTTATGGTCAGTATTAGATTCTATAAACATGTTTTTTTTTTCCCCCTAATTACATCACTTTAAACAACTCTGACAACAAGGACTTACTTACCAGACCTACAAACACTAAAATATAAGGACTCAGAAAACCAAGCTGGGTCCATTGAGAATATTAAACCCCACAAATTCCTCACTTTTTTGTCACAAACAGATTCTAGTTTTGGTAGACAATGAGAATAACAACGTGAGCTGCTTCACATTTTCAGTATTATCAAAATAAAGATTGTCTGCCATTGAAGCACCTTTCCTCAAGCAGACAAGTTGTCAGCCTCCATACATTACTCAACTTGTCTGCTGCCCCAACACTCCTCTAAAAGCTTCTTCCTCCGAAAGGCGATTCGCATCGGATTCTTTCGAGTCAGTTCATCGACATCAATCATCGATCTCAACATGTTAGGTTCTTGGAGGCAAAAGTGCTTGTTCTTAACACTAATTTTTGCTTTGGTTATTCTCTCTGAAGCATCAAGGTTACCTAAGAGTTCCTGGGAACAAATGCTGCCCAAGAAGCTTCCTTCTCCTAACTCATCTCCCTCCAAAGGCACCAATTCTGTAAGTACTTCATCGTCTTCGAAAGAGGTGAATGTTGATAAAAACCTTCCGTCTTCTGACGGAAAGGTCTAGATGATGTTTGGTAAGAGAGAAAGGAAATAAAATAAAATAAAAAAGGAAAGGTGCATAATCATGGTGAGGGAACGAAGAGACTATTAGCATTTTTTGTTATTCTGGTATGGATTTCCTAGCCTTAGAAGGATTAAAATCGGAATCTAATGAAGGATTTTGAATCCCTCATCCAATCCATTCTCCTCTCTAATCCCTCCTACCAAACAACGAGAAGTCTTATAATCCACCCACTGACACTCCCACTCCTATCTTTCCTTCCTCTTTTCCTTCCTACCAAACAAGGTTTTAGTGTTGAAGCCAATAGAGCTGCAGAAGAAGCGACAACCCTCCCGAATGCCCGCCGCAATGATCGTTATCGGAAAGAGCATATGCAACATGTCTTGAATCAGTTACTACAGATGGATTCCTACTTTTAAGATGTGCCTACATATGAATAGAATCATAGATACACTCTTGTAGATTTTTTTCTTGTATTTAGACAGCGGATACAGTCTCTTGTAAAGATAACCTAGTAGCTTCATGATCAACTCAACAGGATGAACAAACAAAATCAGTGACGTTTTTGGGATGAGAAGATCTAAAACGTAGAGCTTCTTTTGATCTTCAAAAATCATGATGAATTTTTGATGAACTCGTGTATAGCTTGTGTATGTATCACTTTCAAAGTTAATGTCACTGCAATTCTTTCATGTACTTATTTCTCCATTACAATGTCTTGGTCTCCTTGGTTAATTGGCCTTCATGGTTGAAAGATCAATTAGCTTATACACCACCAACTTCAAGTAATTGATTTTGACCTTAATTAGTAAGATATTAGCTGCCTTTATATATATATATATATATATATATATATGAAATCTGCTTTCTAAGTTCTTCACTTCATCATTTTCAGAACAAATCTGGTACCATTCTTCATAATATATGTTTTAGGATTAGCAAAGGGATTGAAATCTATTGCTCTCACAAACAACTGAATTCTAAGAGAGATTTCAATTGAGTAAATAGTGGAGTAATTCTTTAGTGTTCAGAAACTAAAGGATCTACTTTAAATAATGATAATTAAAAAAAATCAAGTCCTAGTTGTTTATGCTTCGTGGGAAATTATGCTTATACAACTTTACCATCAAGCTAGTTATAAATAATAATGAAGAAAAATATTACCTTCAATATTTTTCCCATTATACACTGAAGTTTTAAACTTTTTTATACTCATTTACTTGAGCAAAAAATCTTTGTTGTATTCATTTTGTTCTATATCAAAAGGGATTTTTTTTTTCAATTCCCAGTTGATAAGAAGTCGAACAGAATGACAGTAACAAGTTTAATTCCTTCAACCTTAATGTTTCTATATCAACAGTTGGAAGAAGTGTTCTTAGTCTATGTTGCTCTGTTTTTCTCTTTCCTCTGTTTTTTTAATTTGTTTATTCTCTCTCTCTCTCTCTCTCTCTCTCTCTAGTCCTTTCCTCTGTCTCTATCATCTTGCCGCCACTAATTTTACAGATTATCTGAATGTTGACATAATTTCTTAAGATGGAAACTGCCTAGAAAGCGTTCGTGTGGAATTTATAGGGCTAGAAGAAAGAAAAAGAGTTTCTTCACGCCCTGTTTAGAAGAGGATAGAAGTATTTTTTTTTTTTAATATAGAAAGAGGGTAGGAATATCTTTAGGATAGAATAATTAGAAACCAGTAAATTCTTCTAAAGAAATGGACAAGTTGTCCATTCCCATTTAAATTTATAATTATTTTTTTATTCTGACTATATAGTGATCAGACGGTTGAAATTAGGCCGTAATCATAAATTTTTTTTTCGGGTTCTATAAAAAAAACTTTATTTTTTATATATTCTCTTAGTTAGATAAAAAAATATAAAAAAACAAAGTTGACTTTTCATAGTGAGCGTTCAAAACCGCATTTGAGTGTACAAACTGTGTGCACATAATGCAACATGTAAATTGCTGTGCCACAAGTACACCACTATCGTATCATGACAGTTTCATTTTATTTTATTTTTCTCAATATTTTACCCTTTTGTTGTGTGGGAAAATGTGACGGACACATAAAAAAAAGATAATGTGACACGTGGCCTTAATCACTCCCCGCAAAGCAACAACCTTCGACGTCTAAGGGCTCCCTCCCAGTCCGTTATAAAAAGCCCAAGTACGAAGTCCAACTTAAGGCGTCGATTCCATCTGGCGTCGACAGGTCATACCGTCGACCTTTAGACATAGAAATTCCTCGACCGTAGAATCAACCGCCAAGAAGTACAATTGGATTAAGCAACACTAGCGACGAGGGGAATGCTCTTTGGGGAAAAATCTGACGTGGCAAATTGCGCACAAAAGTGGGGGATGACTGGAAGGCAGGCATTTATTGCGAACCCTTAAACCGCCTCACAGGGGACAGAAAAGGGTTACAGGAACTCACAGAGCCGTAATATAAGACTAATTGACTGAGTGAACAGTACTCTAAGTAATTAGTGGGCTACGCCTGGGCCTAAAAAGGGAGAGCACTTGAGTGCTTCTGCCTACAAAGGAAATCGACTCAGCGAAGGAAGCCCCCAATATAAAAAGGGCAAGACCCCATACAGGGAAGGGGTGGAAATCCAAGAGAGGAAAAAGAGTTAGAGAGAACAATTGATGTAAATTGTAATCCTCTCAAAAGAAATATACAACCACAGTGGATGTAGCTCTGATTCTATAGAGTGAACCACTATAAAATCTCTTGTCTTCTTTATATGCGTACATCTTTGATTAACGCACAACACACCTCTCCAACAAATTCTTACACACATTCAACACTAAGGCCGGTAATCCAACGGGAAACCCAGAGGTAACCCGGCCTGTTTTTGTTGACGAGAAATCACCGTCAACACCTTCTTTGTCATGTATTTTCTTTGGAAGCATTGAACAACTAGTGGAGAAGGCTTAAGCTATGTATAAGGGATATTTACATTTTTATACTATGTATTTTAAGTTTATTCAAATTGTATACTTTCAATTTTTAATCTTATCAAATGTATACATTCAAATTAGATTTAATATATGAATTTATACATTATGTCGGTCAATAATTGATTTTAACCTTTAAAATGACTAAACTATCTAAAAAGAAGAAAAGAAGCTAAAACTATCCAATATTACAAACAATAAAAATTTAGAACATAAAAAAATCCATTTCAATGGTATTTTGTATATTTTTGAGGTTAAAACTATAAGTTTAAGGTTTTTAATTTTTTTTTCTTTTTCTATTTTTTTATTCAAGGGTATTTTAGGTATTTTAAAAGTTAAAATCAATGATTAACTGTGAAAATGTATAAATTTAAGTATTAAATCTAATTTAAATATATATATTTAATGAAAATAAAAACTGACTGTATAATTTTTAAATAAATCTAAAACACAAAAAGGTAAATATCCCCTATATATAACAATTGCACTGTACATTCGCATAGGATTGGGATTCCTAACAGGTTGTACGGGCGGTTGAATTCTTTGACTTTTTTGGAAAAAGAGACACATCTTTTATCTTTTATTTTTAATTAATATCTTTTAAAATTAAATAACTATATTAAAAAAAATATTAATTATGAATAAGGGGTAAAAATTACATTATAAAAGGATAAATTCAGTACTTTTCTCTTGACCTTTTCACTTTAAAGAGGAGGTTGCATTTTTGGGTTATATTTCAACAATTTGCTGGTTACTTAGGATTTATCTAATTGAAACACGATAAAAAAAAAGGGGGGTTTTGGAAAAGGAAAGAAAAAAACAAGAGAGAGATAATTCCCCTTTATTTATTTAGTTGGAAGTGGAATTGGAAACAATTCAACTCTCTATTTAGTGTTAATTAACATTAAGAATAGAATCTTAATATATTGAGTATTAAAATGTCCTGATCCGTATAATTATTGTACTAGAATTTAGTAGGGGTGCGAAAGTATTTTTATAGTTTATATATAGTTCCAACTAAAAAAAAAAAAATTGGCTTTTAATTATTTTTAAAAATGTTTTTCACCTCTTTTAAAACACGAAAATAAAAACGGTCTGCAAACCGTGTTTATTTAGTAAGTGTTTTAAAAATGAAAATGAAAATAAAAAATAGTGAGAATAATATTTGTGAAGGAATTAGAAAACGGTTAAAAGTTATTTTTCCTTTTCTATTTTCATTTTCTAGTTCTTATCAATAATGTTATAATATATTAATTAATAATTATAACTAAACACAATTTCACTTTTTTTTAGTATACTTAAAATAATCTTTTAAAAAATTAATCAAATATAATTTTAAAATCAGTCTCAGAATAATTCTCAAAACAATCTCATTGTCATAAAAAAAGGCCCACACTCTTCTCTTTCCAATTTCAGTTTTTTTCATCACCTAAGTTTCTTTTTTATGGCTTGCGCTACAATAAAAGAAAATATATATGTGGTTGTCAGGTATAATGACACATCGCAGCCATTTATCTTACGTAGGTCGTTTAAAATGTGCGCCGTTTCTGCATAAAAACAAAGAAAGATCGTTGATGTATGTGATTTGAACTCTGCTTTACGTGTACGTGCAGAGGAGATTTTGAATTATGATACATAATAAAACAAAAAAAGAAAGACAAAATAACTTAACCAAATTTTGAATAATGTTTTTGTGTCTAGATGAATTGTAAATACACTCTCCTTTCTATTATAGTTACAGATTTACACCACTTTTTAAAAAGTACTTAATTAATGTATCATGCAACGGGTCAAGAGAAGGAAAAAAATAAAAAATAAAAAGAATTAATAAAGATCATTGAACTCATTTTTCTTGGTCTACTCTAACGTTATAATGTGCATGCTATACATACGTACAATTAAGTTCTTCGTACACATGCAGCCGAAGAAGTATCCCACGGGGAAAAAGGTTCTATATTGACTTTGACTTGTCTTTGGGTATTCAAGCACGCGAAGAGTAATAGAATTTCTTTTCGAATGACGTTCTTCTATGAAACGATATATGTTGACTATACATCGAAAATGACAAACATTATCAACTAATAACGTTTTCCAACCATATATATATATATATATATATATATAATTGTTGGGGCCTGACTTAGGTGCAAATATCTGCCATAGAAAGATGGGTAGAAGTCCTTCTAAAGCGAGCTCAAAAGAATTCATGACGATGGGGCGTAAAGGAGTGCCTTGGACTGCAGAGGAAGACCAAATTCTGATGAACTACATCAAATTTCATAAGGAAGGAAGCTGGACAAAAGTTGCCGAAAATACAGGTTATTGCGCAAGTTTTGATCATATAATTATCATATAATCTGACGGTTTAGAGTATATCTAGAGTGTTTATTTATTTATTTATTTATTGTTTTTTATGATACGACAAAATCTTCCTGTTATGGTTAGAAGCAGTACTTACTACTAGGGAAATGTGGATTGCATATATGAACATGTTGATTGACATATTGCATTAATCTGCGTTTGAAAAAGTATAGGACTTGAGAGAAGTGGTAAGAGTTGCAGGCTTAGGTGGAGGAACTATTTGAGGCCTGATATCAAGAGGGGAAACATATCCCATGAGGAAGAGGATCTTATCATCAGGCTTCACAAACTTATAGGCAACAGGTATGATTTATTTCTCCAAATCAATGTTAATTTCTATTTCTTTTTGTTTTCCAATATATATGTGTGTGTGTTATATATATATTTCAGTTTTTCTTGCAACAACAAATTCTCTTCTTTGAACTTTTAAATTTTTTAATAACTTCGGAGGCCAAAAAATTTGAATTGTGGGCTTAATTTAAACTACTTTAATTAAGCTTCTATATATTAAAGATGATATTTTGCTCTATATATATTCTCGTTATTGATTAATTTAATTTGTTAAACATGCATGTATGTCATGGAAACTATGTTACTTGCAGATGGTCTTTAATAGCTGGAAGGTTACCGGGAAGAACAGATAATGAGATAAAGAATTACTGGAACACAATCTTGAAGAAGAAAAAGAAGAAAGTGGTGCAACCACTAGATACTAATAACCAATTAGATGATTTCATTCAGAAAAGCGATTCCTCTAGGGCCAGTACTACTACTGATTCGACTACTCAATATCATGTCGACCATAGGATAGACATTAATAATCAACGACTAACAAGCAGAGACAGCTTGTTACTTAATAGTAATTTAGTGGGGTGTGATAATATCATAATTGGAGGCCTCAATTTCACGCCAACCACGACCGAAAATGATCATGATCATCATAATATTGGTCATGATCATGACGATGACATAGCTTCATCGGACTCTTTGGGAGAATTTTGCAGTCTTTCTGACATGATTAACAATTTTGATTTCTCAAACGACTTTTTGGTAGACTAGACTAGACTCGTACTAGTTTGGCGGCCAACCTATTAAATGTGTACTTGTTACGACTCCTAGCTTATTTGATCTTTTGTAATGGCCAATGTAGAAATTTAATAGAGGTGTATGCAGTACTTGATTTTGATGACTTGAAGATCACGCTTATATATTGTGCAAATTATTATTTTCTACATTTTCAAATCCTTTTTAGAGAATAATCTCATTCTTCTTACCCTTCAAATGAATCAAATGATATATATATATATATATATTCATATCATCAACGCTATTATTGTACGTTCTTATACATACAGTTACTATAGTACAACAAAACTATTAGGTGTACTATCAAGCTATAATATACTTGACATTCGGAAAAAAAAAAAAGAAAAAAAAAAGTAGAAATTAGATTGATTGCTTCAAAGCTCATTTGGCATGTGGAAGATGACACATGTCCCAGCCAAACATGCCCTTGGCAGGATATGTGGAGAAGAATCACATTTCTCAAAATATGAGCACAAGTGTAACGGCTATAAGGATCATATCATACAAAAAGCAAAGCCCTAATTAAAAGAAGGTATGCAGTGATGGTTTGTTTGTTGCATTGCTGATGATCATGGCTACGTACTTGTTATTGGCAGTGTTTTGATATGTGTTGTCAAAATATAACAGACATCTCAAGAAAATAAATAAATGAATGATCATAAAATTTAAACACAAGAGTTAATTAGGTGAACAGTGAACTATTTCTGCATCTTCAAAAGCTGTTTCCACTTCGAACCCGAAAAGCATAAGCTTGAAGGTCAACTATTGAGTGGATTTCATTGCTATAAGGTAGGTAGCTAGTAGATTAGTCTTTAGCCAGCATTTTTAAGCTTGTGTGCATAAATCAAATAATTACTTCCTTACTAGCAAACAGTAAGTGATCCAAACAGAAACAATGCCGAATTGCTGTAGAGGGGGGGAAAAAAAGTATCCAAACAGTACATGTATAAGAACCTGTGTAGCCGACTAAGCAATGTATAATGGACAACATATATTCATAATTCATGTCCTTAAAGTAGATAACGCAATGACTTAATTTTAGTTTTATATATCAATGAATTAATTACCTCAGACCAAATAGGAGGCAGATTTCTCTTTGATTGGGCTCTATCAGAGCCAATCAAGGATTTAAGATCAGCATCTGGCTCATGCATGGACATAGAATCTTGAGTAGTAACGTTGGAGAAGTCCATGCCAGGAGGTATAAGATAACAACCCTTCCGAGGCAACTCACTCCTCTCCTCCTCCTGACCCTCTTCAGATGTATAATTAGAATGGAAATAGGCTAAGGTAAGAGTTGTAGAACTACGGTGGAGGAACTATTTGAGGCCTGATATCAAGAGGGGAAACATATCCCATGAGGAGGAGGATCTACAGGTTTCTCTTATTTTTATTCTTTAAACTTTTTATAGGGGTTTCGAACTTTAGACCTCAACATAATAGTGTGGAGAAATATTTATGATCGCTAGATTAAACTTAAAAGCTAAAGATGTTGTATTGCTTATTCTCCATTGTTATTAGTTAATTAATTTGTTAATTAGTATATATAATAGTTGTTACTTGCAGATGGTCTTAAATAGCTCGAAGGATACCAGGAAGAACAGATAATGAGATAAAGAACTACTGGAACACAATCTTGAAGAAGAAGGCGAAGAAGAAAGTGGTGCAGGCAGATCCTGATGAGCAAGATCATGTTATACCAAAAAAAAAAAAAAAAAGATTCCTCTGGAGCCACTAGTACTACTAGCACTAGTACTCAACAACTAATTTGTAATACTACTTGCTATTGAGACAGCAACTTGATAATTGAGAGTTTAGTGGGATGTGAAAATATGATTGGAGGCCTTAATTTCACACTAACCAAGACCGAAAATGATTTTCATAATAATATTGGTCCTGATCACGATGGGAAATTTTTCCAGTCTTTCTGACATGATTAACAATTTTGATTTCTCAAACGACTTTTTGTTAGATTAGACGTCTAGCACTATATTGGAGGCCAAATTAACTTATTTACTTTCTGTAAAATAATGGTCAATATAGAAAGAAAGATTTATCATGATGTATGTACTTGAATTTGACTTTAATGGTCACGCCTGTTTATGCTTAAAATATTTTTCTATGTTGTCATGTAATTCTTTGTCATATTGAAATGAATGAAATTGAACATATGTGCATCTCGTTAACACTAAATATTTTCACAAACGCAAGTGTAAGTTATCGTATCAAGTAGTAAAGTTTGTAGAAACGAGTATCGTCCCACGAGGACTGAAAAATATTAATTACTGAAAGCAAACGCAAGTGTAAGTTATCGTATCAAGTAGTAAAGTTTGTAGAAACGAGTATCACCCCACGAGGACTGAAAAATATTAATTACTGAAATTGTGTCAATACTAACTTTATTTGAATGAAACAAGCAAGTGAGAATTTTTATATAAATAAAACTAAATAATCTAATTAACAATTTAAGTAATTATCAAAATTCAATATTAACAAGCTCTAGGGTTTCCGATTTCACCAAACCATTCCGCCTTGAATTATCTATCTAATCAATCTTAAATTATTCCCCTTAATTGACAGTCGAAAATCCCTAAATTAATCGATGCTCCCTTCCGAGTTACATCAAAAATCCCCTTAATTGCTAACCCACTATATTCCTATGTGAATTTCAAACAATTAAAGAGTCATTAAGTTTTATGAATTTTCATGTAGCAACCACACCAACCATGCAAGTATATCCCTATCTTACATGCAATCAATGGAATTCAACACAATGATCGAAAAACATAAATCTCCTTCCGGTTTCATTATGAATTGACTAATCATTCAATTAGTGGCCAATTAATTAGAAGCATTAAGAATAGTGATGAAAACTCAACTAGGAAGAATAATTCTTCGATTGATATGATAACATAATTTAAAACATCATGATCCGGCTACATCATAGCCCTAGAATAGGAAACTTAGAACATAATGAAAAGATAAAACATCTTAACAATATTCTTAAACATGAGAAGAGAAGAAGGAGAAACTATTTTGACGAATTGAAGCAGAATTCTATTCCCGGTTGATTCGTCTTCTCCTTTGCAGTATAAAAGTTCTCCTTTCTCCTTTCTAAGTCCCAGCATGACCTAATTGAGTCTAAAAATTCCTATTTATAGGTTCGGGGTCGTAATGACACTTTTGGTAATTATTTAGAGATTAAAACATGAAAATCCTGAACTGGCACCGTGGTTCTGCTTCAATGGCGCTACGGCGCCATAACATAGGCCTTCAGAACTTCGAAGTGGCGCCATGGCTCTGTCCCTGGGCGCCATGGCGCTACTCGGCAAATTTACGATTTACGATTTTCTTCTCCGTATAGCCATGGCTCGACTTTATGGCTCCTAGGCGCTTTGCTCTCGGGTTTGTAGTACTGGAGAACTTGTTTTTGGCGTCATGGCTCGACTTTATGGCTCCTAGGCGCTTTGCTCTCGGGTTTGGAGTACTGGAAAACTTGTTTTTCCTCTATCTTCGAAGCCTAGGTGCCCCTTTACAAAGCCTTAGCGCCCATTCTTCAATTTTGCTCCAAAAATTCCCAAAAATCACCAATGGACTCCAACTGAAACAAACCTACAAAATAAATTGAAAACACATAAATAACTCCTAAAAACTCACAAAATAATGAGTTGAGAAAATGCAAATGTAAACACATATTCAACTCATCAATCTTTATCTTATTTAAGGAACACCTTACACAAATAGTTACTATAGTTTACTACAACTAACTTTTAGAAGTACTATCAAGCTATAATATAATTGATATTCATAGTGAGAACATCAATATCTTTGCTAGCTAGGTGGAAATTTTTATGAAACAATGTGAGATCACAGCCGCGCCCTCTCAATCTAATATTTGACTTAACGGATATAAGCATAAAAATTTGCTTTATCTGTGAAAGTCTTGTATATTAGTCAAAATATGCATTCTCATAAATATGTTTTTTTTTTTTTTGTATTCTTTTAAAATCTCATTTCCTTTCCTTTTTATATATTTTGTAGAAATTTATATAAATTAAAAGTATTCTTGTGTGTTTTACAACAAGAAATAACCTTTTTCATGGTCAAATTTTTTTAAAAAAAAATACGGATACTACTCTTAATCTAAGTAAAGTAATAAAATTGAAAAAATTGAAAAAAAAAATTAACAACATCAATTAACCCCTTTGGCCAGTCAATTTATGAGATCCCTTCACCAAATATATTACAATAAAGTGCAATTATTATTATTATTATATATATATATTTGTAATTAAGACTTAATCAACTTTTTCTTATACATCATGAAGGTATTCAATAAAGGCTCAATGTTCAAGCGTTACATGAAATCTCTTGAATCTCCGGCTCATCTGCTGGGGCTTAATATTAGGGAAATAGTAGAAAATAGGCCAATATGAAAAGCTTAAGAAAGTATATAGGCCAATTTTTCGTTATAGAAATTAATAGGCCATAACTTATCAAGTTATGGTTCATAACCAGATAAGTTATGGACAAACTTATCAAGTTATGGTTCATAACCAGACAAATTATGGACAATTATAGACAATAACTTATCAAGTTATGGTTCATAACCAGACAAGTTATGGACGAAAACAGTAATTTGGCCTATTTATTAATTTATGTAAACTATTGGCCTATTAATTTTAATTCATCTCAAATCTTGGCCTATTTCCCTCTTTCTCCCTTAATATTATTACACTTAAATGGATCCAAATTTCTTTATTTCTATCCCTTCTTATCCTAAAAGTAGAAGCACATGAGACTCAGCTACACCTAGTTTCCCAGCTCTCAAAACCCTAACAAAGGGATTGGCCAATCTCTTTCCTAGTGCTCTCGGTCTAAGATTATTAGCCACAACCGTTGACCCATTTCGATTAAGATTCAAAATTTTGTACAACTTCAAGTAATCCCGAAGTTTACAGTCAATAACCGCAAAGTCAACACTCATGTACTTTTGTATAACTTCACTAGGATTCCCATAATACTCAACCAGCTCAACAACGTCCTTGAGATGATCATTTCCCATGAGCCGAGCCCTCATCATACTGTCGTCTAATACCTTATTATTATTT